TAATAATACCAGGATGGTTAAAGCAAAAAAAATGTCCAAATAACCCAACAAATTAGTTATTTTTTAACCCAGTGCATTGGGTTACTAACTTACTACCCAATCCATTGGGTTAAAATAACCCAACATTAGGTAGGTGCTATAGTAACCCACCATTGGGTTATCTGTTGGGTCATTTTTAACCCAACTATTTTAAGTGAGTACATGCAGGTGTGTGTATTTATATATACAAAATAAATATACACAGTACGCACACATATATTATGTAAACAAAAACTTTTGATTAACCTGAATTCATGCTAGTTAATCAGTTATTTTAAAAGCTCTCTTAAACTAATTGCAGCATGAAGGTACTAATTTCTGACTTGAAGGTACAGAAGCTATTTAAATCAGCATTGTGATGGATCACTGTGTGAAATGTAACGTAACAACATATTAATCTGGGCACTTAATAAACTTGTATTCACAATAATGGATTCTAGCAGTATTTCAATTACATTATTTTGTCTCTGAATATTCATCAGACGACATTCCCAATCAACCAGTGCCCTTTTCTTGAGCATGGCACTTAACTTCAGGTTGCTCCAGCAATTATTATACAATTTATAGAGTTAAAAGTGCCGTTTTGGATAAGATGCATCTGCTAATGACAAAGAAAGCAAGTGTGTCCAATTTGCATGTTTTTAGTTTAAATTTCCAGACCAAGATTTCAGTTTTTTAATTCTTTAGCCGAAGAACAACATCTCAGGAGATCATACAATATTATAGAATATTAATATACTAAAATATTTGAACATAACCACAGTGTTAACCATACAAAGACAAGACCATCAGGGTTTCAAAGCTAAAATAATACTATAGACATACAATAGCTCACTTGCAAATTAGTTTCTTACAAACACACAGTTTTTCGCTTTACACTACTTTAATTGATGGATTGGAATTGTGTGGATTACTTGTGGATTATTGTGATGTTTTTATCAGCTGTTTGGACTCTCATTCTGACGGCATCCATTCACTGCATGGGTCCACTGTGAGCAAGTGATGTAATGCTAAATTTCTCTAAATCTGTTATGAGGAAGAAACAAACTCATGAACATCTTGGATGACCAGGTGGTGAATGCATTTTCATCAAATTTTCATTATTCCTTCAACTATGTCAAATTAATGAGGGAATTCTGGAAATGTCTCATCCCCCATAAATTACAAGGAAATTCTCAGTTCATATCTAAAAACATATTTTGAAATAAAAAAATGAAATAAGTATTTCTTACCAGAGGACCTTCTATATTTTGTGTACTGTGAACAATTTCTTTAAATGCCATCATCATGATATTAGTTCCCCATCCTGTATTCGTCGATTTTATTGATTTTTACGCATTTTTATTGATTCACTAGCACTTCTCCTACATTAATCTCAGCGAATGCTTATTCATTGCACACTGTATATAAAATGTCCTCAAATGGGCTCCCAAAGGAACCTTATGCTGTGTAGGCTATACTGTGATATTTAAACAACTTCTTTAAATAGCCTTCTGATAAACATACAAGCTCGCATAAGAGTCATTTTATGCAGTCAGGTGTTCACAAAGAGCAGAGACCTTGAAATGTCATCTATTGCTTTCGCACGAACGCAACAGTGACACTCGTAAACCGACGACGAACAAGAGTGCTGCAGTCTTGAGTGTATTGTCAATATCTCGCAAGTAGTGAAGCTGTAAAGCTCCTCTCGTGGTCTGACTGTGATTCGCTCATTGGTCGCTGAACTGTCAGCAGCTCGAGCAACGATATGAGGCACTCACCCGGAGGACTGCTCACTCATCTGAATTTATGTTTCGCTCCTCTGCCAGCACCGTGTCCGATGAGACGGTTTGACTGAGTTTACGTTTACGCGCTTGTAAGAAAAGCAGGAGAACTTTACGGAATGTAAAGTTTTTTTCCATGGTAAAAGAACATTTACGGAAGAAAAAGCAGCTGCTATGGACGCCCCAAAATTGGTTTTATTGGTTTCAACATTGAGCTCCATGTTTTCTCAGGTAAGTGTTTGTTTTTGTGTTATGGTATTTTAAATAGCATATACAATAATTATTTATTCTTTCATTGCAGTCAGTATGAGATACAGTTGGCGTGTTTACGTGATTTAATTGATATTAAATCTGTTTGGTGTTAAGTATATTTAATTTGTGGAGGACTATAACATTATATACCTCGCATATTTAGTAAAAAACATAAATAGGACTAGAAAGCCACCGAGAAGTTAGATGCTGATTCAATGCAGGAGTGCGCGCACACGTACGGCACGAGTGAAGGAGCAGTGTCTTTTACTTTATAAAGGCATTATAATGTGGACTTTAGAAAGTTATTTATAATGTCTATAAAATGTAAGATATCCGTGATTATTTTTTGTGTTAAATATGTTAAAATAGGCTACTTTTTAACCGCCTAGAATAAATGGGTGAGAGCACCTGTCCAAACATCTTCACGTAGCTTGAAATTTATTTGAGTTAAATTGAATTCAAAATCATTTAGGCGTCATTAACAGTTTTTAACCACGCGAGGTCATGATATTATTTCCCCATCCTTTTTATTGATTCGCTATAGCACCTCTCCGTACATTAAACTCAGCGAATGCTTATTCATTGCAAACTGTATATAAAATGTCCTAATATGGGTTTTCACATAGGAACTTTATTATTATTATCTGATGATGATTATTATTATGGTTGTTGCTATCTATCTATCTATCTATCTATCGATCTATCTAATATTAATATAATTTAAAAGTGTTTCATAATTGTGTATTTTTAGTAATATAATACTTTTTGAATATCAAATAGTTAATTCCACGGGTTTAACTGCTTGATTGCTCAATTAATTTGATTTCTCTCATGTTCATCTAAACAGACTCTGTGTTGAATCAATCAATCAATCTATCTATCTATCTATCTATCTATCTATCTATCTATCTATCTATCTATCTATCTATCTATCTATCTATCTATCTATCTATCTATCTATCTATCCATCCATCCATCCATCCATCCATCCATCCATCCATCTATCTATCTATCTCCATACTGTAAAGTCATGAGATTTACAAATGTTCTTATTAACAGAAAAATTAGGCACTTTGCAAAACCAGAAAAACCAAAAAATTAAACTGCAAAACCAGAATGTCGTACAGTTCTGGTTCAGTTATGACCCACATGGCAATTGTAACCCGACGCATTCACTGACAGTGTAAATCATACACATCAGTGTTCACAAAAGCCTCTTATCTGCACTTTTAGCACACTTCACCCTCTTGAATCACTGATAAAGGCCGCAGTGGTCTGCCACTCTCACCATCACTATGCCACAAGCACAATGAAAAGACATTTTGGCTGACTCAAGAATTAAATGTACCAAACATCAGCTAAAAGCATCCTTTAGGAGACATTCCTGCTGCTATTTATTTCAGCAAAAATGGTAATTCATGTTGACTACCATATTAGAGGATGATTCACAATGGAGAAAAGCAGCACACTTGATGGAGAGCAGCTGGTTGCAGTGCAGTATATGCGTCAAAGTATAGTTTTAAATGTATTTGTTTCAGTTTAGACACATTATCAGCATGTAATTGAGATGTGTGATATAAGAAGCTGCGGTTTTGCTGTTTTGAGTTTAAGTATGGTTAACCTTTGGA